ATGCTTATGCTGAGAGATTACAACAAAATTAAGTGTATACAGAGTGGTTCAATTTCTGTATTTTTAAATTCACGAGAGGCATGTAAATATAGTTAACTAACTAATGATCTAACTTGTTCAATTTGCTTTCCTTTTCTTGACAGGTAACTCTCTTTTCCTACAGGAATGCCTTTTACATGTTTAACATGCAAATATTGCACCTCAGTGCCGATACTTCAGCTTTTTCTGTAGTTGGAAATCAGAACTGCTGGTGGTATCACCTTGCCATTGCTTGCAAGATACTGCATTAGCATTTTCAGTAGAAATTTCTTTTGGAGGAGGCAGATGGAATTACCTTCTCTCTGTTTATGCAACAGACTCTTCAGATAGGGAGCGTTAGGAGGGATCACCATGTGCTTCTCATAAGGGCTGTACTTTGGGGAAATCAGAGCTAGCTCCCTACTGACAAGAGACATTGCAGTCTCCTGCAACAGCAAGGAGTATAATTTGTATTACTAACACAAAGGTATGCATTCTAAATTACAGACTGCTTCATTTGCCAGGATTTTAGACACCCTAGATATTACACTGTATGAGAAAAAAGCAAACCTTCTGCAACTAGATGCCATGCAAAGAATACACAAGTTTCTCCCATAGCTTTCAAAATCAGAGTTTTCCATACTTTGCAGACCCCGAGGCATGAAAACACTCATCCATTCACAAGCCTATGAAATATATAAAAAAGTCATTGTCCTGAAAATTCCTGGCTCAGGAGAAGAGTCAGGACTGCGATTTTGAGAAAATGTAGTCTTCAGTATAGAAATAAAAAGCTAACCCGATCAGGATTTTTAGTTTTTTTTTTCTTTTTAATAACACCAGTCACAACACTTAGTTAGGGGCTGCAGATAACCCAAAGTTAACTTACTCCTCTTTTTCCCAGTGCAAGGCTGCACTACAAAAGTCTTCAAGTGTTTTAGCAAAAGGGTTGCTTGTAAGAAACGAGCTGACTTCACCCACAAACTACATGTGGAAAAACAGTGTTTTGTGACCACCCTCTAACCAGTCCGCATGACAGCCCACCGCCTACAAAAATGTTTGTGATAGATAATAAGATCCAAGCCAGCCATAAATGAAAGCGAACCACGAAAGAAGCGCTTCACTCTTTCTGAGCATCTGAGGGATGTGGTAAGCAAACACAATCAGTCCAATTCAGCATCAGCATAATATAGCCATTGTTTACAAAAGCAATGTTAAAAGCAAAACATGTTTTGATAACACAAAGGAACACATGAAATGATTTCAAACTAGCAAAAAGCTATTTCACAACATCCTTTATGTATTGCTAGGTGTGTTTTCTTGCAAGCAGAGCTCTGGGCAAGTTATGTGTGAAAAGAAGAAATAGTCTAGTAAGAAAGTGTTCAGTCAGATTTTTCTACTTCAAAGCATTTAAAAAAGCCGCCTGAGACCTGCCTCGAGTCTTTTGTAGTTCCTTCAGTTATACATATTCACTGAATTTTTACACTACAGTGACATTCCCTCAAGTTACATTGGCTGTTTTCACCTTTCCAATTAGCTTAAAAGCTAATTTACTTGATGGATCACAACTACACAGCAATAGTGATCTAAACAAGCCAGTGCCCAGTATCTTCAGAGAGACAGAATGATCCTGGCAGTTCCCATGGGAGAAAAACAACAGACAAGCTGATGAGTCTCCTTTCATCTCATCCACACCAGTCTCCCCATTGTTCACAGCCAGTGTCTAAGTGACATAATTTAGGGTTATAGAAGAGGCATAACCCAGTAAATACATACTAGGAGTGAATTACAGAGAAGCCCGAGTCCATCAGACACCCAAAGACATTGAGCAATATGTGAGCACCCCATCAGAGGAGCGTGGGGACACAAAGCACAGAGAAGCAAAACTGAAAGCAAAAGGGTGAGGTGACAAAAGAAGCAGCCCCAACTTTACCATCTCCTTTATGATACTACACTAAGTCTGGCTTCCCACTTGATCTACTATATATATATGTATATATTCAACGGAATATATGTTCAACCTTTAATAAATGACCAAGGACTACAAGGAAAGAAAACCAAACCAGGAAGAAGTAATAATTGGAGGAATACAGGCTTTCCCTCTTCCTGTTTCCTTGTTAGCATCACATCTAAACAGTTACTGATTTTTTTTTTTAAGAAAAAACTTTGAAAAAACACTGATGTCTGTGGGGTTTCAGTTTCTTTTACCCAGATTTACTCGAATTTTTCTATTGTGTCTCATCCTTTCTAAAGCTTCCCTTCTTCCATCTCTCTTTCCTTTACAAGGCACAGATCAGCCTCTCACCAAAGCCATAAGCCCCGCTTCTGCACCCGCCCCATGTGAGCATCAGCAAAGGCCAGTGTGGCCCTCATTCATTAGCTGTGTGCTGGAGGCACATCCTTGCTCCTCTTCGTAGTACGCAGTGCTGTCCTTCCCAAAACAAACAGAACACAGGGAGCACCAGCAGAAAGAAAACATACCTGCCAAGACAAACAGAAAATCCTGTATTTTGCTCTAAGTCCTCTCAATCCTGGTTTGAACTCAACCGCAGAGTGAAAACATGCAAAGGAAAAAACCCACAATGTCAAAAAGACCCAAACACAAAATCTTTCCTCTCCCTTGGTGAGATGACTTTTTCTCGAGAGAGTAAACAAAATTCAACAGATAAAAAATAAACAACAAAAGCCAAAAACCTCCAAACTCACAACAGAAAAAACTCACAAGACAGATAAAATCCTTGGTCATCAAGCATGATTTAGACATGTGACAACTGAAAAATTCAGTGACAGCAACAGAAATCAGTAAATATTTTGCTTATTAAATGATGCTTTTTCTTAAAAGCCTGTATGCACAGACATTAAGAGCAAAAAGTGCCAGTCTTCTAGAAACCAGAGACGCAGAAGTTTTTGCATCAACAGGAGCCAATCTTCTCAATAATTTTCACACAAACAAAATCTTAATAAACTCAGAAGAGCTCTTTGCAGCTTCTCTATGATCATGATAGACAAATCATTCACCAGCATCTAGTCCTGACCCACTCTGTGATCAAAGACACAAATCTGGGACTCAGAGCTTGAGGCTCTGTTCCCAGTTCAAGCAGAGACCACCTGTTCGACCCTGGGCAAGCCTCTTAATCCCTGAGTTTTTGTTCTTTGTTTAAAAATAGCCCTAATCTGCCTTTTGTCATACTAATTAGACTGCAGTGGGTACAGAAAACTTGTAAAATGTGAGTCTATAACCTCACACAGCCCCTTTCAGGACTACTGTTACAGCCACCCAGACCTCCAGTAGAATGACCCAAATTTATTTTCAAATGTTTAAAGCATGATTTCCCAGAAAACCTATTTATTCACATAGACAACTGAACAGTAGTAATTTGGCAAGTTTGGATACACAGATATATTTGCAACTATCTCACGTCAACATTTCATGTAGTACGTCAACAAACATTATTTTACAGCTGTGTGTCTGCTATTTACAGTTTAAATAACATTTGTGCCAGTGGTTCATGTTCTGGTCTAGATATCCAAATACAGAAGGCTGTGAAATAACATCAGCATACAGAAAAGTTATCCAAAATACTAAGTCATCACAGAAAAAAATGAACTGATTATTGCTAATGGAAGGCTGTCTATACCAGTTTACCCAGATACAAAACACATGCAAACATTTCTTTTCTAGCTAGGGATATCAAAGCATGTACTTTACACAAATAAGTAGTACCATGACCTACAGATATTAGACAGACCTATATGTAGCTTAGAATAGTTCTTAGCACTTTCAAGGTTCTTCCCCATTTCAGCTTCCTTACTTAAACACACCAAATGCTCAGCAACCCGTTCCTTAGTTTTGCTATCCAAGTTTCAGCAATGCTGATGAATACTGCACATCACAGTTCCCCTCCATTTACCCTGCCCAGGGAAAGCCAATATTCTCCTGAGCAGAACTTGCCTCCTGAAGACAGCAAAGGGAAAATACCTGACTGACATCGGCTGCAAGTCAGATTTATGTAAAGACGAATCCTCGTCCAGACAGCCTGGATACGGCCTGACAAAACCCCGTAAGACTTAAATCCTGTCCCCAGCCCGCTTAAGTTGGATGTTTCCAGCCTCGTAATGCTTCAATGGCACCGGGCTTCTGAATGAAAAGGAGGAAGGGGAACCTCCTGTACACCCTTAAGGAGTTATTTGATACATCAGATGGATGAACAACAGTAAAACAGAGGGGAAACTCCTCACGAGGAGACACGAGGGGCTGAGTTCTCGAGATGTCCCTGTCCCCAGATGAAGCACCCCGGGCCTCCTCCTCCCCGCTGAACCCGCTCCTCGCGTCTCCACGGGCGGCCCCAGGCCGGACCCCGCCGCCACGAGGCACCTGAGGGCGGCGGACAACAGGTAAGCCCGGCCGGAGGGAGGGAGCCCGAGGCAGGGTCTCCTCCGCCGCCCGAGCGAAACCCCTCGGGGCGCAGGGGGCAGAGAGCCCCGGGGGCGCAGGGGGCAGAGAGCCCTCGGGGCGCAGGGGGCAGCGAGCCCCGGGGCGCAGGGGGCAGCGAGCCCTCGGGGCGCA